TATATTATTACCCGGGTTACACACATTATGCAGTACTTACAAATAGACTATAAATTAAATTCATGCATCAACGATCATGCCATTCATGCGACGCAGTCACATCACATGAACCCGATCCAGTACCAGGGGTGTTGGTCGTCAGCATGACAGTAATATGAATAGCAAGAATATGATAGTATAGCAAAAAAATTGTATGCTATAATCACAAGTATATTTAGTTTTAACTTAATATACTATATATTTACAACTCTCATTATAATAGACTTGAAATATACCAGCTTCTTGTATTTCAATTTTATATGCAGTAGTCATATTATATTATTCTAATAATATAGAATATACAAAATCTTAAATAACTATTGAAATATCTTTTAACTATTCAGAATATTGTTAACAAATGCTTCCACATAGATGATACTGTTGATATTGAGAATGCTGAAGTTGGTGATGATTTAACTTCTCAAATACATTTATTAATTCAAGTAAGATACTATATAATCTAGTAGACACTTTAAATATACATTACTAGCTTTTGATCATTGTATTGTATATATTCTATAATTAATAATATTTTTTATATAACAATATGCCTATATATAAGTAAAAGATTTTCATTGCTTTATTATATATGTTTTAACTTCAGAATATTTATTTAATAGACAATCCAATAGAATATTAAATTGATCTTTTTCATGTTCAACTATTGTAGTTTTGAAATCCTTAAAGAATATTACAAATTTATCTTTAAGATTACCACTTAAGTTCTTAATAAGATTTTGTTCAATATACCAAATACAAAGCTAGTAAGTTCGAACTACTAAAACAAGTACAAGGTCTTGATTAGTTAAAAGTGTTTGTATATTATAAACAAGTATATCACCAATTAATTGTTTTAATTGTTGGAATATCTAGTGAAAGCTTAATGTAGTTTCATTAGCAAAAAGCTTACTTATAATAAAAAATATAATATCCATTGCATCAACACTACTAATAAGCAGAAGTAGTATCCCAAAACGATTTGTCTTATATATAGAATCTATCAATAAAATTTTTGAATAATATTTAAATATTGCAAGTACAGAATGGGTAGCAAAAAATAAACAATAAAGCTTGCTATTATTAACTAAGTAGATAATTTCATATTCATTATTGTTGCTTAAACTATTTAATAAATTTGCAGTTTTTGACAAGCCTCTTATATAGTTTTTAGACCGGTTATTTAATGTATTGTAAATATTCTTATTATGAATATATTTATTATATTTTTTGATTAGTATATTAACAATTATTAGTACTAAAATACCTTTGTTATAAAGTATTTATATATATATATTTTTACTATTGCTTAATTTGTGATGTTTAGGATCAAACATAACTATAGCAATATTTAAAAGATGGTTGTGTTTAAGGTTAATACTTTTTACACAATATTTGGTTTTTGTTTAGTAAACTACTACCTTTATTGCATCCAATAGCAATACTTTTGGGTTTTTGTAATCTAGTACTTTTGTTACCTAGAGAACTAGCATAATGATAAATGATTTTTGCTTTGGTGGTAAAGTCTATAATTTTGTCTGTACGTTGTAATCTAGTTGCAAACTCTTGACTTATTGCATAGGTATTAATGTATTCTTCGACCTTATACCAGTTATCAAAAGTTTGGCCAACAAATATCGTAGTTGAGTTGTTATTAATTGGAGTTGCAGATAAGATTATATTATTGTTATCATTAGAATCTCTACCAAGTGCTTTATTGTCATTATCAGAAAAATTATTATCAAGAAGATCAAGTGAATTATCATTGTTCCTGGTATTAATATCAAAATATATATTGAGACTAATAGCTTCAATGCTTAAACTGTTATTATTTAATACAAATAATTGTTTAATATTTATATTAAAAAAGTGTTATAGCAAAAAAACAAATAAAAAATAAGCAAAAAAAAACTTCAATTAAAGTGCAAGTTATTAGAAGTTTATTTAAGAAACTTTAAAAATAAGAAAAAAAAAGGCTTATCGAGTTATTTCTAACCTGAATTCAAGATAATTTTATAGTATTTATTGAATTTTTGCTTTTATAATTTTTACAAACCTATATACTATTTATATCTTATCTATTTTACTTTTTGAAATGCAATAAGAATTCATTATATTTGGAGCTTGGGCTTGGTATCAGAAAGCACTTTATTCAATTGCTTTTTTTCTTTTTTGTTCAGTTAATTTTCTTGAATATTAATAAATTTTTTTATTTTTACTTTATTCTTCATTTGTAAATTTGAAGCATTTTTTAGATTCTTATGTTTCTTAATACAATCTTCTATGTAAACCTTATTATTTTTAGTAGGATTACTTTTTTGCTTAATACTATGCATAGCTATAAATTTTTAAACATTTTTTTATTTTATTTTTCTCTTGTAAATTCGAAATATCTTAAATTTTCACACTTCTTAATACAGCCTTCTATGAAATAAGTTCTACCAATTTTAACAATATTATATTCTTCTTGCTTGTTACTAACGTACGGCTATGAATTTTCATCACTTGACTTTTTAGATTAGCAGCTTTAAAAAAAAATCTATAGTTGATCAAAATTATAAAGATTAGATATTTAGGCTATAATATCAGGATGGCTTTGAAAACTTATGAATTATTAAGATTAGATAATAGATCTAACAATAGATTATTACCAAAAGTGTAATTTGAATTTGGGCATGTATAAGTCTTCTTTCTTATTGTTGTTATTCTTTCTTTGACTAAAATCAATCTCTAATATTTCTTTTTCTTTCTTTTTTATATATTTAATATTATTTCTCTATTCATTGATATAATAATCAATTTTGGAGAAATTATATTGATACAGCAAGTATAGTATATGATTTATCTCTTTTATCGATACAGTAATAATTGATATCTTGAGATGAAGAAGATATTACAATAATCACTAAGCCAAATTTTATGAACTTTTTATTTGAATTCTACAAATCTGTAGAATTTAAATAAAAAAAGCTTATCAAATTTGGCTTGGTAGTTGTGGTAATACAAAGTTTGCAAAAAATTATAAATTTTTATTATGTAAATTGACTGTTATTAATTTGATCTAAATGGGATTATATACCATGATTATAGACACAAAGCTATCAATTATATATGTGGTTATAGTACAATCAAAGTGGCCTGAATGATAGCTAACACTAGCTAGCTTTGTCCTCTCAAAACAATGGTCCTTGGCAACTCGAGTTATATTGTTGTTTAACACAACTTTATATAAGAATTTTTTTCACAGAAAGTTAACCATAGTTTGGTCTAGTCTTAAACCAGAGTGCAGACTATTTTTTCAGTTTCATACTAGTTTTAAAATTGATTGTTGTATACTAATTTAGACTAGACCACACAACATCTCTACTAATCTATCTCTAATTGAATTTTAGTTAATTAATGTATTATTATTTAATAAAGTTTAATATTAAATCAGTTTTAATACTGGATCAGTTTTAAAGAACAAATCAGGATACCTGCTAACAAACAATTCTATCTTTTTTATTTAAATTAATTACTGAAAGTAAAAATTGTAAATCAATATTAGTATATTTTAAATTTTAAAAGTAATACATAGCACAGCTTTATCTAAAATTTTGTATGTTCTGATTTCTAGATCAACAACTTTTATCAAATAAATACAAGTTAAAAACTTGTAAATCTTTATAGTATAATTTTCACATAATATATATAAAATTATGCTATCCAATAATATGCAAGATTTTGTCTATAGCTAGTTGTTTATAAACTATATACTTTATACTTTGTACTATATTTTTGGTATATAGTAAAATCAGTAAATTCGTATTATATCTTCATTTGAAATTAAAAAATTTTAGAAAGTCTATTAAAATAGAAGCTGTGCTGAAGTTTTTTCTAACTTAAGCCAAGGTATTCTGACACTACCAAGCCAAATTTGATGAGCTTTTGAATTCTACAAATCTATAAAATTTAAATAAAAAAGTTTATTTAATTTGGTTTAATGTTATCATAATAATATCTTTGCTCAAATTTTTTAACATATTAATTATTGGTATGCCAATAAAGTATAATGATTAGTTTTCTTGTATTTTTTATTTTTGTATTTGTATAATTCTTTAAGTTGTTATTTTACATAATTTTACTATAATATATAGCATATTAATCTTAAGCATTATAATATATTGTTAAGGTTAATTTATGAAACTATAAATACATAGTGGTTGTAATAAATATGCAGTAATTACTACAAATATACAGAAACTACCATGAGTATATTGTAGTTATTATGATTAAGCTTTAAGAAATTATTATATATATAAGTGTTTGCTCTTATTCTTGGTTAAGCAAGAAATTTCTCTTCTAAATAAAGATAATATAAATTCACATTTTTTATAATAAATGCCTAATAAATCATAAATATCTACATACTATAATTTACTGCCAAATTCATATAACCTTTTAATATCAGCTGTTGGAGTTAAACTTGGCTCTATAAAAAAGTTGATTTGTGTTTTATATTTTGTATTTTGTCTATAAATATTGCATATTCATAGAATTTATATTTTTAAATCATGGAGATTAATTAGCTTGTTTAGATTTTGTTGATCATATTGCAAGTTTACGAAATTTTAATAAAAAATATAGAGAAATAATAAAAATATTTGAAAAAAATATAAAAGTACCAAGCTCTCTCTTACAATAGTTATAAAGATTTATATAGCTACTATGTTGGTATAACTTTGAATAATATATTGTAACCCACTTTCAGTTATTAATTAAAATTGTTTAAAAAGTCAGACAGTCTGCTAGATACTTCAAAAAGCTTAGACATCAAAAATATATAACACTGCCTATATACTCCAAGGCTTGGGTTAATTGACACCCTTTTTTCTAGTTACTAGAACTAGTCTTACAGGTGCACTTTCAAATAACTAACTTAGAACTACTTTATTCTCGAGATAAATCTAGCAGAACCTGCAATATTTTTACTTTATACTGCTTCTAGCCTGTACTTTAGTTTGGTATACACGAACTATAGCCCACTACTTGTAGCTTAGTTTTACCCATTCTGGAAGTGTATATAGTACCAGGTTGAGGTCTTTGTCTATAGTTTTTCCTCTTAACTTAAACTTTTTTCTGCTTTCTTTATATGATTTAACTCCAGTTTGGCTAAACTTTGCTACCCAAATCTACTTCTGCCTTTGTAGAGTTTACTCAAATTCAAGAACTACTTCACAGTATATTACCAGTACTTTAGTAACCCAGCTTCCTTTACCCAAACTTCCAATCTAGTTGGCCTAGTATATAATTACTTATTTTTCTCTAATTTGATGATAGTCTAGTTGGTGTTAGTGATTTTACTTATCTGTAAATAGCAGGGGCCCCAACCCTAGTTTTTGATTTTTAAGCTAAATGGCCTGATAACTGTGTACTTTTTCTTTGCATCTAGGCAGGTACCTCTGAAGAGTAGCTAGTAAATCTTCTACCATTGCTATGATTTGTTTGCAATTGCAGTGGTTCTTTAACTAGATTTTTGGTTCTCTTTCCTATTTGCAGCGGCCTAGTTGATATAAGTGTAACCCTAATATTCTGTATTCTGTCTAGTTTAGTTTATCTAGGTTTTGTTTTCTGGATCTAATTTTTACAGTAGCTCTGTCAAAGATCTGTGCTACCTTTCTACTCAGAACTTGCCAAGCAGGCTTTTATATTCACAGTTTTTTAAATTTACATAGCCTAGGAGCTTATTTTATATTTGTATTGCCTTATTGTCAGTTTGCATTCTTTTATATAATCTTATATCACACAAATATCCCAGACTAGAGGTTGGAACCGGTTTTAATAATTCGAGTTTATCACGTGAATTTTGTGATATTTTAGAATTTAATCCAATTAAATTTTAATAAATTCTAAAATATCACAAAATTTACGTGATAAACCCGAATTATTAAAACCGGTTCCAATCTCTATCCCAGACCTTTCAGTTTTGCTAATATAACTATAGTTACAAGTATTTTATCCTAACTGATTATCGAATATAGTTAGCCATAATACAAGCAAAATTTTCAAATTTTCGTTATTAGTGAGATTTGAACTCTTGATCTGCCGTTTGAGGTGACAACTTGACCACTTCGCTATATCACTACACCCCTTTAGTAGAATATATTATACTATATATAGTAATTGTCTGAAGTATAATGACAGATACTCAATTTTTACACATTAAGTAATACAAAAGTTATATTTTTGATACATCTCAATCATTAAAAATTCTTTTTTAATGCATCAACATAATTATTATAAACAAATATATCAATATCGTAATTTGAAAATTTTTTGTCTGTTTGCATGTGTGACATGTGATTATATAACTGTTTTGAATAACAAAACTGGTAAATATGATAAATACAGTAATACAAACTCATGTTAAGTTATTCATATAATTAGCTAGTATAAATTAATTGTCTAGATAACTTATTTATATACTTTAGAATACTTTTAAGAATATAATAGTTTATTAATAAAAGCTATTTATAATGCTTTGGACTTATATTGGTTCTCGATTCCTAGTATAATAAAAATTAATTTTTTAAATTTAAAAAAAAATTTAATAAGTAAATCTTTTTTGAGCTTTAAGTAAAGTTGTAGAGAAGATTTTTCTGGTTCTAATAGTAATTAAATTATCAAAATTGGCCTTGTAGATCACAAGATATTTGGAGTTAAAGATGTAAATATAAGGATCTGCAAATTGGTAGTTATACAAAATATTATAGTTTATAATATTTTGTATAACTACTAATTTGCAAATCTTTTGTTCACATCTTTAACTTCAAATATCTTGAGATTCACAAAGCCAATTTTGATAATTTACTATTATTAAAACCAAAAAAATCTCCTAACAAACTCTAATTTAATAAAAACTTTTTTAATTTTAAAAAAATTGATTTTTTATATTAAATCTTTATATTTGTATCTTTAATTTCAAGTATCTTAGAATTTAAAAGACTGATTTTGATAATCTAACCACTATTAAAACCAGAAAAATCTTTATTTAGAAGCCTAATAACTCTAACTTAATAAAAATTTCTTTAATTTTTAAAAAATTAATTTTTATATGTTTGTATCTTTAACTCTAAATATTTTGAGATTTACAAGGCTGATTTTGATAATTTAATCACTATTAGAATTAGAAAAATCTTTATTTAGAAGTTCAACAGACTTTAATTTAATAAAAAACTTCTTTAATTTTAAAAAATTAATTTTTTATATTAATAATTTATTATATTTTTTATATTAAATACTAAAAATAGTAAAATTGTATTATTATAGTAGAAATAGCAAAATATTATCCAACTCT